AGCGTGTTTGGAACTCTGAACTGAAGAGATGGAGGCTCAGTAAAGCACACCAGGGAGTGTGGCAATGAGGAATATAGAAGACTGTGTTACACGCCATGGACCAGAGCACACAGGTGTGCAGAGCTGTGGACCCAACGCTGCCATGTGGGATGTAACCTCATGTCTGGGGGTGGGAAAAGAAGGGGATCCAACCAAGGGAAGTCAACATTAATAGAGAGGAAAGGTATCACATGTTAGATGCTGGAAAATGTCTCTGCAATCCAACACTGATTCCTCCTTCTGGAAATGATCGGCAGACAGTCCAGATAGCATTGGCCCTAAATTGTCTCCCGGAACCTCCTGGGATCACCAGATATATTCCCAAGGCTCACACTCTGAGGGGTGCATTGTCCTTTCTGCTGTTCACCTCCCGGCTGCATTTTAGGGGCTTCTCTGGCTGTGCTGAGCCTCAAATAACAGAATCCTGAGGACCACCAGGATCAAGCCAGCCATGCCCATGCGGATGAGATTCTCCAGTGTGTAATCTTGGGGGAATGAGGTGGGGGATGGTGGACAAAGAGGCCACAGAGGTCAGGGCAGATCAGCATCACCCAGTACCTCTGGATGTCCACCCAGGGCACCCACCTCCCCTTCACAGGACCTGACCCTCTGTGCCATCCCCATAACTGAAAGCATCTCCTCACTCACCAGTCTTGGGGTCTGAGTTGTTTTGTGATGGGCTGAGGGTCTCAGCTGCTCCTGAGGATCAAAACAAAGGAGAAGTACCCTGAGTCAGCCTCTCTCCTAGGCTGTGCGTTCTTATCTTCCCCTGTCTTCTGACACGAGTTCTAGTGAGTTCCTCAGGAAACCCTTCCTCTGTAGCAGGGTTCCCTCCAGTCTCCTCATGGAACTATTTCAGCTTTCCTGTGTTCTACAAATCCAAATGTTGCTCTTGAGTCATTTGGGAGAGAGTTTTCCTGTACCCCAAGGGCTCAGGATCTGCAAGGAAAGTGCCCCCAGTACAGAAATCACTGAGCCCTGTGTGCTGTCGGTGCAGCCTGGGACACAGGAGCACATGAGCCAATTCCCCCGGAGATGAGAGTTTCACGGATCCACCAGCTGAGGACCCAGGCTCCATGCATGAGGGGTTGGTCCTCAGGGGCGCCTCAATGTCAGAAGCAGAAAGTGGTGAAAGTCTGGGGCTGCCTCCCCTTCATGCCCTCAGCCACTTCACCTGGGTTTTCAATGTCCAATTAATCTAACTAATTCTTCATATAATCAGGAAAACCTAGAATGATGTGATACCTTCCCCTCCATCCCCACTCACAAACATCTGTCTGCTAAATAGTGGTGCTATTAGAGGTTCATAAATCAGTATTTCTGCTTTTACAAAGTGCGAATCTAGGTGAATCTAGACCAGTAACAAACATGTAAACTCCCACCACACAAAATATCTTTTTATTTATTTATTTACTTATTTATTGAGATGGAGTCTCGCTCTGTTTCCCAGGCTGGAGTGCAGTGGCATGATCTCAGCTCACTGCAACCTCCGCCTCCCAGGTTCAAGCAATTCTCCTGCCCCCAGCGTCCCAAGTAGCTGGGATGACAGGTGCGTGCCACCACCCCCAGCTAATTTTTTGTATCTTTAGTAGAGATGGGGTTTCACCATGTTGGCCAGGCTGGCCTCGAACTCTTGACCTCATGATCCTTCTGCCTCAGCCTCCCAAAGTGCTGGGATTATAGGTGTGAGCCACCGCACCAGGCCTATTTTTATTTTTATTGAGATGGAATCTCACTCAGTCGCACAGGCTGGAGTGCAGTGGCACTCTCTTTGCTCATTGCAACCTCTGCTGCCTGGGTTCATGAGGTGATTCTCATGGTTCAGCCTCCTGAGTAGCTGGCACTACAGGGGTGTGCCACCATGCCCAGCTATTTTTTTTTGTATTTTTAGTAGAGATGAGCTTTTACCAGGCTGGTATCAAACTCCTGACCTCAGGTGATCTGCCCGCCTTGGCCTCCCAAAGTGCTGGGATTACAGGCGTGAGTCACCGTGCCCGGCCATCAAATATATTAAGAATATGGATGAATATATATCAGATGAACTTGGATATGCCTACACACATACTCAAAAGTAACTTATATAACCACACATAAATACGTATAGATATAAAGCTTTAGATATTTATTTAAGATGTATTACATACATATTGGTATTTGAAGTGAGAAACATTGGCAAGCAATATAGAAGTAAAGAAGTAAAATTTCCGTTGTCTCATGGTTTGTATAAATTTTATCAGGAAATTCGAGGAGATCCATAGAAAAGCAGTGAGAATGGGGTCATTTGGTAGTGAGTTAGCACGAAACACAATGAATATACTCAAACTCAGCTTTCTTATGGATAATTACCTTTTATTTTTAAAATATAAAAGAATAAAGTACTTCACTTATAAGTTGTTAAAGGTGTTGAATAATTCTTTAAGTTGAAATGAATATAATTCTTCAAATGTCCACCCAGGACGCCCAGCTCCATTGACAGGACCTGACCCACTGCGCCCAGCGTCATCACCGCGAGCATCTCCTCACTCGCCGGCCTTGGAGTCGGACTTGGTTTGTGGTGGGCTGAAGGTCTCAGCTGCTCCTGAGAATCAAAACAGGAGAAGAGACATTCAGATGTAACTTATATAACAAATTCTGTATAAGGTTATATACAACTTACATAACCTCCCTGTCAAGGAGAGGTGGGGGTCTTGGGTAGATATTGAAAAAATTATGTCCATTTTAATTTAAAGAATTATTCAACACCTTTGACAATTTATAAGTGAAGTATTTGATTCTTTCATATTTTTTAAACAAGACGTAAGTGCCCATGAGAAAGCTACTGGTTTGGGTATATTCATTGTATTTCATATTAACTCACTACCAAATTGCCCTCTTCTAATTTAAATTTAAATTATCAAATTTAAAGCACCTCCTTTTCCTATAAAAGAGGTTTATTTAGATGTTAGAATCATGCAGTGATTGGACAAGATTGGACATGAACCCACCTGGGCCCAGGGTTGAGCTGCACTGCAGCCCCCGCTGACCTCCCGTGGGTTTCATGAGCCACATGGAGCCCCCCGGTCAGTTTCCCTTGGGCCACTGTGCTTTGAAACATCCAAACACTTCTGAATCTCATTAAGGAAACCTCAATTTTTAATGTGTAGGGGAGGAAGACTTGAGGTTAATGAAAAACGGATGTCTACATTGAATATGTAAATCAAATCACAGCCCAATGAAAGAAGTATGATAATTTTTAAATAATAGGTTCACATAGCTGAAATAAAAATTATAAATTTATATATTCAAGTATTGCTTTAAAAGGTTTAGAAAAGAAGAGAGTAACAATGGGCAAGTGCGTATAGAAAACGCAGAGTAGAAATGAGTTACACGCAAGATGCACTGTGAATAATTGCCTAACTCATCCAGGGAGCAGGTGCACGGCCCCTCCTTAATCTCAGGTGCCCTGAGCACAGAGGCCTCCAGGTGAGCACAGGAGGGGCTGTTTGAGGGACACCTACAGCTGGAGTGCTTCTCTCTAAAGGAGCGGGTCCGGGGCGGACTCCAGCCTCATCACAGTCAGATCCCACTGAGGCCTGAGCAGCCTCCTCTCCTGTCCTGAGATGGCCCAGGGACCCCGCAGGTGGGGGTGAGGGGCTCCATCCTCAGGGGTCCTTGGAAATAAGAAGTGAGAACTGCCAAGGGAGCATCTGTCTGTCCTCTCTCCATCTCGCCTGCCTCTCTTCCTCCTCCATCAGCTCAGTATCTTCCCCGTGCCCAAGTCAGGCCTGGACCCCAAATCCTCCTGACCTAGCCTATGCTCCTTCCTCTACTCATCACACATCCTGCAGGACAGGGTAGGGGCCTGGGGTCATGCAGAGCTGTGACAGGAGTGGCTTTCGGTATAAAATTGGAGGGATTTTGTCTTTTACATGAGAGAGGGGAGATTCTAAAACAGTGGGGCTTTGTAAACCTTTGTTGTTTCAAAATAGTGTGGCTTTGTCTTACTAAGCTGAGATTCCAGGAGGGATGAGTAAAACTGCATGCACCTGCCCCCATCTCTGTTGGCTTTTTAACCCTTACAAGCCTCCGTTATTGGGAGAATTAGGACAAGGCCAGAGAGGGCTGGAGATGGGAGCAGGTCTAGGAGGAGCCACATCCCAGATGCCCCAGAAGGTCAGAAACGAAGGGGCTTTGGGGTGGTCACATCCAGGCAGCTCCCCGTTATTCAGATGGGGAGGCCAGGGTGCGAGGAGAACCAGCTTTTTCAGACGTTTCACCTCCCAAGGAGAGGCTGAGCCATCACAGACCCAGCCCCACCTCCCCGGGCTCCTCCCACCTGACTCCTACAGCAAGCACCTGCCTGTGATCGCCCCTGGCCCTGGCTCCCCATGAGAGGTGATGGCTCCTGGGAATCCTGCGCGGGGAGGGGGAAAGTCCCCGCTGCTCCACTCATCAATGCCGAACCTCAGACACCTCCCTCCCCTCTGACCACCACGGAGGGAGCACCTGCCCCAACCCTGGAGCACCGGGAAGCCACGCAGACCACACCCTTACTGTCCACCCTGCCCTCTGCTGCCCTGGAAATCAGACCCTGCTTATTGGAGGTAGCATTGAGATGAGTCTAGAAACTTCTCTTGACTTGGAAGTGGCTGTTTTTTTGTCACCCATGGGGTCAGGACTTAGGGGTTGGGACCCCCAGAGGCTCTGATTCTGAGGTGGAACATCAGGAGGGGAGCGGGTGGGGCCTCTGTCTTCCACAGTCATTCTAATCTCATCTCCTCTGAGGTTCACCCATCTCCTTCCAGCCCTCCCGGCTCTTCACTCCACTGAGACTTCAGGGGTGGGAGGTCCCATCTATTTCCACCCTCTCATGGGCTGGATCCTCCCCTGCGGACCCTGCCCCTTCACTCCCCTCCTTCATTATTGTCCCAGAGCTCTGCTGGGGGCAGGGCCTGAGCTGAGCCTTTGAGTTCAGAGAGGACAGGGTCAGGGCCCTCACCTGAGACCATGAGCTCCAGGGGGTCACTGGGGTGAGTCAGCAGGTAGGGGTTGGAGCTGAGGGAGCCGTAGCACCTGTAGGTCCCCGCGTGGGCTGAGGTCACAGGACTCATGGGAAATTCAGCCTGGTACTTATGAGATTGGCGTTTTGATTTTAGACGCAGGGGGGGATCGGCTGCTCCCTCCTTGGTCAGAAGGAAAGTGTGCATCCACCCCTGTGACTGACACAGCAGGGTCACGTTCTCTCCTGAGGCCACCGTGGAGCCCGGCTGCACTGAGAGGAAGGGTCTGGCACGGATCTGTCCTGGAGAGAAGAAGGATTGATGAGGGGCTGCCCTACTTTGTTCTGAGCCGATACCTCCCAGGCCTCTCTCTGGAACCCTTAGTCTCTCTGTCTGTTTTCTCTGAGTCTCCCCCTCTCTGCCCATCCCTGTCTCTAACTGCCTCTCTCTCCCTTGGGACCCCCACACCTCGTCCCAGCCATCACCATCTTGGCTCCCCCAGCAGGGCCTGTGCAGAGCCTGGGTCCCTGACTGAACCTGCTGGGTTCCTCACCTGAGATCAGGATGTCCAGGGGGTCGCTGGGGGCCGACCACTCAGAGGAGAGGTTGTGTGCACCGGAGCATCTGTACTGGCCCCCGTAGGAGCGGCTCACAGGGCCCAGGGGGAAGTTGGCCTGGGAAAGCCCAGCCTGGGGCTGCCGGCCAGGGCGCTGGAGGAAGTCACGTCCCCACTCCTTGTACAGAGCAAATCTGTTGTAGCCGGCATCAGAGCCACACTGGAGGATTAGCTTCTCCCCAGGGGCCACAACAGGACCCGGCTGCACTGAGAGTGACGGCTTCTTAGAAACACCTGGGAAAAGGTGGTCACGGTTTCCAGGAGCGACCCTCAGGCTTCCCCACAAACCCTCCCTCTCCCCCTGGGCCTCACCACTGCTGATCTTCCTGTGTCTCTGACCCCAGGAGCCCTGAGTCCTGTCGTCCCAACATCATCCCACCTGGCTCTGCCCTGAGACGCGGCTCCTCCCCACCGGCCTGGAGACTCAGGGAACTCCAGGCAATGCTGTGAATTTCTCACCTGGGACCAGGAGCTCCAGGAAATCACTGGGTAAAGACCACACATAGGGAGAGCCTGAGTCATAACCATAGCACCGGTACGACCACCTGCGACTCGGGCTCACGGGGCCCACGGAGAAGACGGCCCGGGATGACCCACGGGTACGGGGCTGGGAGATCAGGCATTGTGGGTGTTCATCTCCTTCCTTACACAGAATGAAGCCACCAGATGCTACCCGTGAGTCACACTGGAGGGTCACGCTCCCTCCTGAGGCCACCACAGGGCTGGGCAGGGCTGAGAGGGTGGGTTTGCTGTAGGCTCCTAGGAGAGAAGGAGGCACCGTGTTAAATGGGCTCCCATCTCCCGCATCATCCCCAGGGCTGGGCTGTGAGAGGGAGACGCCCCTGAGAGCCGACCCCCTTCCTGAGGACAGAGCCTGGGGCTGGGACCCCTGAGTGTCCTCTCACCTGTCACCACCAGCTCCAGGGGGTCGCTGGGCTCTGACCGGCCTGCAGTGTGGTTACCATAGATACAGCGATACCGCCCTGTATGCTCCCAGGTGATGGATGGGATGGGGAACTGGCCCTTCTTCACAAGCTCCTGTGGGATCCGTGTAATCCAGGGTGCTGTTTTTTCTTCTCTATATAGACGGTACTCCTGGGTCTCCAGGCTCCCCTGACACCTGAGGGTCATGGGACTCCCTTGGGTGATCACAGAGTCTGGCTCAGCCCAGAGGGTGGGTTTGGGGAGGGTGCCTGGAAGGAAATCAGAGTTCAGATTCTAAGTCATTTCCTACCCAACCCAACAGATTCCAGCTCCCAGTCCAGGACCCTCCAGATGCCCCCATCAGTCAGCCCAGATCTGCTATTCCCTGTCCCCAGCTGCACTGGGGTGGCCCCTTGTCCCCAGTGAGGAGGAGGGACCTGGGACAGCTGGGGACAGACTCACCTGCCTGCACACAGGTCCTCCGGCCCAGACTCAGCCCTGGAAGAGAGTTCCCTGTGAGAGATTTGCCCCTGAAGCCTGAGCAGGTCCTCCCCTCCCTGGGATCTTTGTGAGCCCCTGGGGTCTCCTTATGCACCGGAGTTTGGCTGTGGGGTGAGGTCCCTCCTAGGTTAGAATCTCCCCTCCCTCTTCAAATCTCACCGAGACAGATCAGGACCGTGAGGATGGGGGTCATGGCGTCTCCTCCCACTGCCCTGCTCTGTGGATGGATGAGCCCTCGGTGCTGGCAGGACAGAGACACAGGGTGTGGCCACTCGGAGGCTGGGTCCTTCTTATGGGGTTTTGTCATCTGCAGCCACACAGGAAGTGGAACTGCCCTCCCCAGGAACCTGGCTGTCATTCCTTTAGGGCTGAGGTAGGGGCAGGCCCAACCCCTTTGTAGACATTTCAGACAGAAATGGTGTCTTTCCTGACCCCCAGCCACTGTCTGTCTGGCTTGCCTTCATCTCGCTAAGACCTGGGATGTAGCAGGAGAAAGAACTGGTGCCTTCTGGAGTCAGCCCCTTTCAGGTGAGGGCGACCGTGGGCTCCTCCTCCCTCTCAGAGCCTCCCCATGGGGTCTCCCTCCCTCCTTCAGCCCGTCCATCGGCTCAGCGTCGTGGGGTCCTTACCATGGCAGTCGTCTCTCCAGCCCTGGAGATGCTTCAGGGAAGATGCAGGTCCATGCTGCAGGCAGACCCAGGTCCGCAGAGACGCACCTGACACCGGGCTGTGCAGCCCAGGCTGAGCTGTGAGTGGCAATGAGCACAGAGGAGAAATGCAGGGAATAAAGAGAGGAAGTCGTGACCCTCTTTGTGGCCTTGGACTGTAGATTTTCTTTCTAATCAATAGTAATCCCCCCCTTTTGTTAACTTCCCCCCTTTTTGTTTTCTACAACGTCCACCCCTGACCTCCCTGGGAACAAACCTCTGAGTCTTTCCGGCCTCCTCGGTGCCCCTTTCGTCCTTGGCTGTCCCTCTGCACCTCAATCCGTGTTCAACGTTTTGGGAACAATGACTTATGTTTGAGCTTTGATTTGGGGAGTGGGGGAGGGAGCTGATATTTATTCAATGACCGGTTATCATCCACCGCCTACGTGACCTCGGGCGGTAGTGAACCATCTCTGAGCCTCAGTTTCTTCCTTTGCAGCTTTGTTGCCACATATCCCAATCGTCACCGTGGTTGTGGGGTCAGTGGTTCCTGGGACATGGGAGAGGTTCCTTGGTGCTTCATTTCCAGACCAGGTAAGGACATGAGGTGTTTGGGATACGATAGGATCAGAGCGTTGGATGATTGATGTGTTCACTCGAGATCTCACATCTGAGATCCCTAATGGAGCAATGTACAGGCAGTATTTCTGAAATATGCAGAACATCAATGTCATGAGCAGTAAAAGAGGCATGGAAGCCCCCAAGTGTAGATGGATCCACATTAAATAACAGACACCAGAAGCGAGTCGCCACAGGTGCCCAGGACCATCAAGGGGTTATTAGGGTGGAGGTTTCCACCAAAGGTGGCCCAAAATGATTAGACTCAAAATGCCAGACCTGCCTTGGTTTACTATAGAGAAAGGGATTCAAATGTTTAGGAAGATTGAAATGTTAGAGAGGAGTTGTCATTCAAAACTCCTCATCTAAATTGGAAGAGTCTAGAAGATGTATCTTTCTTTTTCACTTTTTCTTTTTCTTTTTTTTTTTTTTTGAGACGGAGTCTCACTCTGTTGCCCAGGCTGAAGCGCAGTGGTGTGATCTCAGCTCCCTGCAACCTCCATCTCCTGGGTTCAAGCGATTCTCCTGCCTCAGTCTCCCGAGTAGCTGGAATTACAGGCGTGCACCACCACACCCAGCTAATTTTTGTATTTTTGGTAGAGACAGGATCTCACCATGTTGGGCAAGCTGGTCTCGAACTCCTGACCTGAAATGATCCACCAGCCTCGGCCTCTGGAAGGCGTGAGCCACCGTGCCCAGCCGAAAATGTATCTTTCAACAATCTTGTGAGAAATAACTGTGTGAGGGAAGACCCAGAATTGTGGAAGAGCTCTGTGATGGTTTTTCTTTTTAGGTTCAAACTTCAGGCGAGAGCTGCTGCTGCTGAATTGAGAAACAGAAATGTAATTAGAGTCATTGGAGCCCAGAGTGGCAGGGACCGTGTGGCAGAACTCCACTAACAAAGGCAAGATTGGTGTGACCACAGTAATGCAAAACAGACTCAAAGCAGCAATTGAAATCATGTGACTTATGCAACCATGTGGTGCTTGCTAGTTTGTCATAGTGTTCCCATAAGTGAAATAGATAAGAAACCTACTTAATTTTAATCTGTGTCATCAGAAAATGGCTGGGTAAAGTAAGCAAAAGTTTAACCTGAATCATAAAAGCATACACAGCAGTCCCTTAATCAATTCCTGGAATGGAGCAAGTTTATAGGCCCAGAACCCCTTGAATTATGATGAAGGCCACATTTCCTTGACATTGCCTCTGCTACGCTGCCATTTACATGGTTAATCTCCCTCTCAGCCTTCCTGAAGGAGACCTATGACCTTTTGTCAGGGCAACTGTGCACTAGAGAAAAACACAGTTACCAGACATCTTGGGTGCTACTGGACACTGATTCTGAGCTGATACTGATTCCAGGAGACCCAAAATATCAGTGACCCTCCAGTCAGAAGGGGTTTGTGGAGATCATATGATCAACATAGTCTGAGCTCATGTCTTTCTCAGTGTAAATTCAGTGAGTCTCAGACCTATCCTGTTAACCATATCCACAGATCTGGTATGAACAATTGGAATAGACAACTATTCAATTTTCTTTTTCTTTCTTTCTTTTCTCTTCTTTCTTAGTCCTCCTCTCCCTCCCCCTCCCCCCCCCCCCCCCCCCCCCCCCTCCCCCATCCTCCCATCCCCCTCCCCCTCCTCCCATCCCCCTCCCCTCTCCCCTCCCCTCTCCTCCTCTTCCTCCTCTTCCTCCTCCTCCTTCTCCTCCTTCCTCTTCCTCTTCCTCTTCCTCTTCCTCTTCCCCTTCCCCTTCCCCTTCCTCCTCCTCCTCCTCCTCCTCCTCCTCCTCCGTCGTCGTCGTCTTCTTCTTCTTCTTCTTCTTCTTCTTCTTCTTCTTCTTCCTCTTCTTCTTCTTCTTCTTCTTCTTCTTTCTTCTTTCTTCTTCTTCTTTCTTCTTCTTCTTTCTTCTTCTTCTTCTTCGATGGAGTCTTGCTCTGTCGCCCAGGCTGGAGTGCAGTGGCACAATCTCAGCTCACTGCAACCTCTGCCTCCCAGGTTCAAGCAATTCTCCTGTCTCAGCCTCCAGAGTAGCTGGGACTATAGGCACGTGCCACCATGACCAACTAATTTTTGCATTTTTAGTAGAGATGGGGCTTCACCATGTTGGTCAGGCTGGTCTTGAACTCCTGACCTCAAGTGATCCACCCACCTTGGCCTCCCAAAGTGCTGGGGCCCCACACCTGGACCTCTCTTGCCTTCTCATGGGAGAATTGTGTAACAGTCCTTGCTAACCTCAACTTCCACCTCAGACGGAGCACTGTATGATTTCCTTCCTCAAATTTGTTCCAGTTCTTGGGCCTCGTTGAGGTCACCACCAACCTCTCGGTTTGGGGGATAGTAAGAGTTTAGTTTTGCAACCACAACTCAGTGACAGAAAAAAGGATTTCAAAGACACAGCAGTGCTTAATTATGCTCCTTTCTCATCTCAAATTTCTTAACTATGCTCCTTTCCCATCTCAAATTTCTTCCCAAATTAGCTAAACCCATGCTTAACCCCTTAAGGTAAATACCTCTCATAACTCTTCACCTGTCCATACAGAATTCAGAGATGGGTATGTGGGACTCTAGCTTGTACCAGAGCTAAAGGCTGTCACTGCCTTTTCTACTGTTCTGCCTCATCCAATTATCTCTGTGGTCCAGTGCAGCTTAATACTACTACTACTACTAAAAGTAATAATCACTGACTCACTTTTAATGATTGGGTCCACCCATCTGTCCTGTTCTGCAATGAATGACTATAGCATCCAAACCTTTTTTTTTTTTTTTTGAAACAGAGTTTTGCTCTTGTTGCCCAGGCTGGAGTGCAATGGTGAGATCTTGGCTCACTGCAACCTCTGCCTCCCAGATTCAAGCGATTCTCCTCCCTCAGTCTCCTGAGTAGCTGGGATTACAGCCATGCGCAACTATGCCTGTCTAATTTTGTATTTTTAATAGAGACAGGGTTTCTCCATGTTGGTCAGGCTGGTCCCGAACTCCTGACCTCAGATGATCTGCCCACCTTGGCCTCCCAAAGTGCTGGGATTACAGGTGTGAGCCACCATGCCAGGCCGCATCCAAGCCTCTTTTTCAGGAGGAAGAAATACTACAGTAAACAAAATCTCCCATTGTTAATTCAATGTATAAACTCATGAGAAAAGAGCAACAATTTTTTAAGGAGATAAATTAGAAAAAAAAAAAAAAAACATGTGCAGACGGATACATGGACAAAAAATTAAGCTACCTAGAGATCTCAAATGTATGTTAACCTAATACAAGGACTATTAGAGAATATAGGTGAGCAAGAATCACTTAACCTACTTTGTCATGGAAAATGTCTTTGCGGATGTGACAGGTTTGGTAAGAACCAAACAATGAGAAGGTGGTCACTATATAAAGATCCAGAAAAATAATATTATTCAATATAAGATCAGCTGATTGAAGTATTTTGTGAACCAATATGCAGAAAGTTTCCTAGTGTGGACAATAATTATTTAATTATGAGGAAATTTAATAAGTGATGTGAAGTAACATAGATCTGTATTTACAGATGTGCAATAAATTGTTAAGTAAAAATCAATAAAGAAATAAAATGAGAAAAAATCTATCTACAATAAAACCATGAATCTCAAATCATTGGATGGAGAGAAATATACATATGCAGAATACTCTCTGAGAAGAACTAGAATAAGGAGATATGTGGCCGGGTGCAGTGGCTCACACCTGTAATCCCAGCACTTCATGAGGTCGAGGTGGGTGGATCACTTGAGGTCAGGAGTTCGAGACCAGCCTGACCAACATGGTGAAACCCCATCTCTACTAAAAATACAAAATTAGCCGGAAATGGTGGTGCACGCCTGTAGTCCCAGCTACTCGAGAGGCTTAGGCAGGAGAATCGCTTGAGCCCGGAAGGTAGAGGTTGCAGTGAGCCGAGATCGCGCCATTGTACAGGAAGTTTCAAACCCAGGAAAGATTATCTTTCAAGCACTCAGTGTTGTGGTTTTCCCTGCCAGGGTGACAACCTGATGATTATGGAAATCTAATCAGAAAACTGCTATCTTGCTTTTGTTCCTACCTCCACACAATGAAAACAGTTACTGGTGGAGACAAAATATGTCCAGAGTAGACAGAGGTCACAGA